ATTATTTGCCTCAGTAATTTTTACTAATTTGTTTATGCACGCAACAAGATACAGCATAGGCATATGTACAATTTTTGTTGCGAAACCTTTTGGTGCGTGGCAGATATCTATGCCAGGATGCCGATGTTTGAATTAGAAACAATAAAGTTTCAGCTAGACGAAGTCGCACCCTCCCCCTGGGCAGTAAAGCCTCCTTTTCTGACCGCCTGGTGTCAGCTCGGTCGCGCTGCCTGGCCGCGCTCAGCTGCGCTGCCCGGAGGCGTTAGTTCACCGCCGGACCGGCAGATGGTGCTGGCGTTGCGTCTGTATCGACTGAGCCCCCGGACGACAGAGCCCCGCGGCCGCGCGCTACCTCGACAGCGATCACGTCAACAAACTGAGCCTCGACGCGGGTGGCCCTGACCGCGGCGCCGGCTGGCCAGCGTCCAATACACGGGAAATAGCCTCACGGAACGGGCACACAGTGCCGCTGAAAGGGCCAACACTGCCACCGTAATATACACACACACAGATAAAACACTCGTTTTCTGCGTAGCGAGACATAAAGAGTGAAATCGTTTGCTCGACGAAATGCTACCCGGTTTATATGTTTTATGGGCATCATGCATTCATATCGTTTCTTGTGACAAATGGGACTGCAATGTCAGGAGCAGCTGTAGATAATTTTGGACAAGAACAACTCACAAAATTTGTCCTAATGGTAAAAAGAAAAAACATCAGTGTCCCATAAGCCGATACATTTGATGTAAATTGAGCGCGCCTTTCTTGCTTTCACTTCTCTCGGTGATCAAACAACGCTTCGACCTGCAGCGTCAGGGACTAAATGGACAAATTCTTCATTCATTAACCCTCGCCCGCACATGCCATTTTCCCATCCTAGAACGCACATGGGGGGGGGGGGTTGCCACCCCCGCGCCATTTCGTTCCTGTTGGAGATAGAGCTTAGCGGTAAAGACCAAAAAGATTCTTTGGGAAGAGACGAATCCAATGATACCCAGTTTTACCTTCTCAGGTCAGTCATTGACCTTCCAGGTCAGGTCAAACTAAAAAATGTTGCTGTTTTGGGTCACCGCTGGATATCAAGTGCGCTGCTTATCAAATACCGATGACGATGCTGTTTTCTGGTGCCAAGCCAGCTAGAACCTCTTTGTCACACTACCCGACCAGGATTTTGCTGCTGAGGTCATTTCAGGTCAAGTTAGGTCAAGGTCAATTATATGTGTTTGTATGTCTGTGTGTGTCTGTGTGTATACTGATGTGTGCACCGATTATTTTTGGGTCCATATTACATGAAATCATGATCTGAGAAGCTTTTACCAAAAATGCAATAAAAAACTTCACAAAAAGTAAAATTCAGCTTGCCTAAAACGCAATTATCTTAGATGACCTAGGTTGACCTTGACCCTGACCTTGACCCCTGTACATCGTCGGACAACATGTTCCATGATAGGTGGGAGGTAGGACTGGCAAAAAAGGCGGAAATCAGGGTGTCAAAAGCTCACAAGGCCCATGGCAAACGCAAGATGTTGAGAATTGGCCATTTGGGTCATGACATGACCTGAAAAACAAGGTCATATCTCCGAAATCAAAAATCACAGAAACTTGAAATTTTCAGCGAACATCAAGAAAGGATAGACGAGCAGCTATACGAAAAATCAGCTTTCTAGCTCTAAAAATGTTGAGTGCAGAGCAGAAAGACTACCTGGGGGGGGGGGGTGGCAACCCCCCCCCATGTGCGGGCGAGGGTTAAAAGACGGTCTATGTTCATCCCGTGATCGACCGCCTTTTACCGGCGATCAGACACGGCATCAGTCTGCCGTTTTCACACGTAAGTTCCAGGACAGTTGCGGAAGCTTGACCTGTGCGCTGACCTGGGATCACCACCCACCAGAGTTGACCATCGACACCCCGCCCTCCGCCCTCCCCCGACGGCCGTTGTCGGTTGTAGCATGCTTTGTTGCTTGTGTTCGCCTCCACCTGGCACGATGCGATGCACTCTGCAATCAATACGGAGGCACTGGTGCCGCTGCCCGCAACGTGTGACTGTGTATGTTTGTGTGCATGGGTGCGAGTGTACCTGTCCACCCGGTTTGGTGGGCATGGGTAAGGTGTTGGCGCTAAAGCGGTACGTGTGGCGCTCAGAGCCCATTCATGACTGCAGTCGTGAGACGTGCTGGCGGCAGCTGGGTTGTTATTTGCCTTGTTTCGTTGAAAACCAAATCAGCTGAGTGAGTAGATGATCAATGCCTTTTTAAGTCGACATGGAAAAATCGCGACTCAAGACCACACGCATGGGAAGCGTCCGGGACACTGATTTGAAGAGACAATTTAGCTATCTGCACCCAACATCCGTGACATGAGAGCATGTAATGAGTCATACTATACCTATATTGAAGAAGCATATTATAGTGACCGAATCCTCAATTGAGTCTGAATAAAAAAAAAAATAACGAAATTCGAGTATATTCGATCAGGTATTTATCAACCGATACCAGCAGGCGGCGCACGCGTATACGAGTATTGAATAAAGAATGATCATTCATGGGATATCGTGGAAACTGGAATCCATCTCTTGAATGTATATGCTCAACATCCCACATCAGTGTTCGACTTATTCACAATTGCATATCCTGCGAACGGCCTTTTCGGACTGCCCATGTGCGGCCATTTCAGGTCGTTTACCCTGATCAGCTGGAAACTGCAATCCAGAGAGGCCGTGTGATGAAAAGTATCGCCGCGGGTGTGGGCGGTGGCGTTTCAGGGGCTGGCACAGCGCCAGGCTGGCTGGAAAGCTGCCATACTTGGCGCGGACTCGCCGGGTCTTGACTGCGTTCCACCGAATGTAAAGCCCGCCCAGTGGGCATTAACAGTGGCAGACGGTCAAATCACCCAACAACAGAGTGTTAATTCTCCGTTTTAATGACCTCTTCACAAACAATAGAGATTTCACAAGCCTACGCTACTCTTAGAACGAAACAGAAACGCTTAACTTTGAAAGCATGCGTAGATATTGAGAAGAATTGCGCTCAACTTATTAACCTTATCATCCCAAAATTTATATGCTTCTGAGCCCATTACACCTTGTATACCTGACCCCGAACTCCCGCCATCCATCCTCCGAAGTCTGCCCATGAGACCGATAACGGGACCAACGCCGTGTGGCGGGCAAATGACCTGCCGTTCAATCCACCTCTGTCCAGCCACCGCACCCCTCAGTATCAGCCACAGCAGAGGCCGGCGAGCCAGCTCCAAGCAGCCCCGTGATATCCACAGTCCACACCCTCTAATCAGCTGGTACTGCGTGGGTGGCTTTGGCGAAGCCGTCTCACCGTATATGAATTCAGGGAACGGGACGCGGGCAGTGTGATTAGGGAGGACTTGTGAAGACAGGCAGAAAGGTGCCTCGGGCGGTGGACACTGATTATGTGATTCCCAGAGGAGAGCGAATTGCCTTGATTATTGGTACTGGTGCCTGCACCAGTGGTGACTTTGAAAAGAGTGGTTTTTAGAATCTTATGATGAAAAACGCCATATTTACGTAACATGAATTTTCAGGGAACAGAACTTACACGGAATTACTGACAAGTAAGAGAAGAGAGAGGTGGAGAGAGAGAGAGAGAGAGAGAGAGAGAGAGAGAGAGAGAGAGAGAGAGAGAGAGAGAGAGAGAGAGAGAGAGAGAGAGAGCGAGCGAGAGAGAGAGCGAGAGAGAGAGAGAGAGAGAGAGAGAGAGAGAGAGAGAGAGAGAGAGAGAGAGAGACAGAGAGAGAGAGAGACAGAGAGACAGAGAGACAGAGAGACAGAGAGACAGAGAGGGGGTTGGAAATATTGTATGGAAACCCAAAACACCTATTTAAGCATTTCATCCGATCCTCACCGGCTTTTGGTAATGCTGAACAGAGCCGCTTCCATATTCTCTGTATCTGCATTGGCCAATTGATGGCGCTTCAGCATCCATACACGTGCCACTGACTGCCTCAGCCCGCTGGCACAAGGTTACCGTGAATGATGCTCCGCGGTTCTCCGAATGTGCTCTCAGTGTATGTATATCATCGCTATCATCCCAAGCCGCGAACGCTCAAATGTCATTTGGTAATGGCATGTGGTACCTCAGGTGGACCGTGGGCTGTGCCACAGGTCAACGGGTGCACTCATGAAGTGGCGCAGATTGCCAGCCAGTGAGACAAGTCACAGCAGCCAACAATTCGCTCGTGTTTTATCAGGTGATGCGTTAACCGTCGCACTTATAAAAAAGTGGCGAAAGGACCCTCTCTCCTTTAACCAGGAATGTTTTAATATCGAAGAATGTTACTGGTTCGAGCGATGCAGGGTATCAATTTCGAAGCAGCTTGGCGGTACACACTACACAACCAAACACGGGGTAATTGTCATTACAATATCAGAACCTACGCATACCTATTGGTTACCTTTATTCGCGTCTGACGAGTCGACAGGACCAATTAATTATAAGTGGGATATTGTGCTCGAACTCTTTTGCCCTCTTCAAATCACTTCCTAGCTTCAGATTGCGGCCTCTTCCCGCCCCTCTCCCGTCTTTTACAGCTAATCTCCTCGACCCGCGCTATAATTCCTCTCAGCTCCAGTTGAGCGCCGCCATCCACCCTGTCACCGACAGATCGCCGGACGTCCGGCCCCCCGGCGCCGCGCTAATCCTTTCCGGGCGTTCAGAGCCGGTCTCGCCGACCTCCGCCCTCCCACTGCAGCGGCCGTCTGACCGCCGCTCGGGGACACCTGGCCGGCTGACCGGTCAGCGGACGCCACAGGTGGCCAGCAGCGCTAACTGCTCGTCCGCCAGGTGACTTGACCCACCGGTACATCGATCATCGCCGCCTGGACCGCCGCCGGCGCGCCGAGTGAGGAGTGGCGGCGGCCGGCCGGCGGCCGCGGCGCGCAGCCGTGCCTATCGACCTGGCCGCCGTGCCGGCCGCTCTCTGCCAGTGTTTCGCGGGCGAGCGCTGCCGACGGCGGCTGGCGCTGGACAGAGCAGCTCTCTGACCTCCGCCGCGGCCCGTGCACCGATCTCGTGCGCCCTGGACAGGACTAAGGTCGCTGCGGACAGTGCGCGCCGTGGATGGCTGGGGAAGCGGCAGAGACAGGGACATGTCATGGATGACCGCGGTCTGAACGGACGTTGATAGTTTTCCGCTGCGTTGGACAAAGGTGGTAGTGCAGTGAATTATCGACACTCTGTCTCGGCTGGGTAGCCGAACGGTATGGTAGGTCTCGGGCTCGCTTTCTGTTACCGTTTTATAGCGCTTTTATGGGCAGCCATGCCGTGAGTTCAGGGCATTGCCAAAACTCATATCGTGTTAAACTCTCGCTCAACTAAACGCCAAGAGTTGTCGACAATAATGAGCTGGAAACCTCCTTTAACGTTTCTGAGAAATGCAATTGTAGCGGAGTCATTCTGGATACAATGCTGAATTCGTTGTCCTGTCATTGGCTGCTGTTTATTCTTTAGGCACTCATACATTCCTAATCTGGATGCTACAGTAAAGTATACAAGTACACGAAATGTTTCGCTTGAATTGTCTTGATAATAGAGCTTTGTAACGACTATGCATCTTTCAAAAAGTTTTGATTCCCGAAACGCATTTCAAGTTTCAAAAATATCGCATGTCTTCGAAAATTTCACATGCTCCTGGCAAAACTGTTGCTTAAAGTTTTCATCCCTATAAGAAAAATAGCCATGGCCCATGTCAATTATCACAGACCTGCACTCTGTTCATAGTTGAGCACCAAAGCGAATAAATAACACAAAACAATCAAAATAATGCACTGCGACACGGCTGCCAAACTAGGGAACTTGTTGCTTTCGGTATGCATAGTCTCTTTGTTTCACAATGATTAAAATGTCGAGTCCGTTTCGCTACCACCGACCGACACCCGTTTTGCAGTATGCAAGTTCTGCGGTTGATGACCGTGGCAACGTCAACTTGTCAACAATGTATGTCGGTCAAGGCGAGCCCTGAGGCACTGCACAATAAGAAAAGGTCTATTGGACAAAGAGCTGAAGGCTCCCACTGCTGTCGACCGGCGTGTGCTCTACGTGTCGGAAAACTGGCCAATGACATTACGGACCGGTCAAGTGGCTCTACTACTCACGCTTCTTTATGATTGAATTGACGGTTTAAGTCGTGCTGGCTCCCGCATGGTTCATTTCGCCACCGTCACAAAGACAGTGCACTCGTCCGGACAGACGGAAAATGTCGCCACCTGACCTAATCGGCACAGCTGGGCGGACTGCCTCAGACTGAGACCGTTGACGACAGGCCGCTGGCCGCCTCGTCTCGGGAGATCACTGGCTGGCTGGCCGGCCGATCAGTGAGCTGCCCAGTTGGCGAGGGTCCGGGCCCGGTTGGGGCCTGTTTGGAACGCTCTGTGCCGCCGGTCGGGGCACTCGGGGCCCGCTCGAAGAACCGAACTCAGTGACTGAGCGGACTGCAGTGCTGTGGAGTGTTCACACCGGCGGCTATTCACCGATGTGCCGGCGGTATGCCAGAGTAGCCGCTGACTATGTGCACCACAATCTCTACTGTGGGGAGCTCGTTCGACGTGGACCTGCTGCTTCACCTGTGCCACCTCCCGAACAGGGTCAGGTACAGAGATAAGATGATGAGGTACGTGAGGTGATAGCCACGCAGCGCGGGCTCACTCGTGTCGCTGAGTATGTCCGGCGCGTTGGAAATACGTTACATATTTGGCAGCTACATACGTGTCAGTGTTTTGATGTTTTTGGTACTCTTGAATGTCGTCGCCATTTTCTGTGTCGTTCTCTGGGCTTTCTTCAAGACCGTGAAATGGGATTCTTTCATAACTTCTCTTGTAACGATTTTGAAATTACCATAATTCAGCCACGGTTATCATATCGCGCTAAAGTCGCTATTAACTGTTCGTTCATATCTCAACCCAGACACCTCGTTAGTTGCAGCCCCTTCCATCGTCTCTCCGCGAACCTAACCTAAAAAAAACACCCACGTATACACCATCGATATGATATGGCATCAACAATTAGTATGGCCTACGGGTACGTATTTGCGGGCTGAAATTTTCGAATCATTCTAAAAAAGAAGAAGGGAGGAAATCCAAGCTTAGTATGCTAGCAATCACTTCACTGATTGGCCTGATTCAATCGTGCAACTCCTGCTAACTCCCGCCCAGTTCCGCTGAGTTCCACCTAGTTCCGATGCGGAACTGGCGGCGCGCTGCCGAGCCAGGGAGCACGTGCTGTTGGCTGGACATGCCCGCCCCATTGATTGAGGGAGGGGGCGGCGGCGGCGCGGGCCCACGAACGTCACCAGGTAACGGGCCCGGAAGGCGCTGCACGGCGCCGTGCCTGATCAATGGCACGGACCGCCGGCCGCCGGCAGGGAGGGGACCGTATACCTACAGGCGCGCCGCCAGTGACCCGCCGGCCGTGCGCTGTGAAACAATGACCGCCGGCCCGGCCACCGGCTGCGGCGCTCACAAGTAAGCGGTCGGCGCGGGCGGGCCAGCCCAATGACATCTGGGTGGGATCGTGTGAGCTGAGGCAGCCGCCACCGCTGCCGGGCCCACCGGGGCCCTCTGAGGGCCTCTAGAGACGCCCCGAGGCCCACCGGTGTCAGTGCGAGCCACCGGAGACTCGGCGGAACACCATGCTGACGGCCATGCTGGTAAGGTAAATAGCGCGTCCGATGCGGACCCGACTGGCGAATTGGAAGGGCGCCGCCGCGACCCGGGTCTATCGCAGCGCGGACGTGGTTTACTGAGGACCATCGAGTCAGGTAAATATTGTCCACCGCCGCCCCTCGGCTATGCAGGTGACACTTAGTTCCCTTTGGCAGGAGTTTGGGGACGAGAAGCAGCAGAGATCAGATGTATATTTTCCTTTCGAAGGAGGGACTGTTAACATAGCTCTGTTAGTACAACTCGGCTGGGGCAAACCTCAGTGATTTGTGAGGTCGTTTAGGGCTTCGGAGTTTTGAGTGGGTGACATGCCTTCATATTTTCGAGTTATGTCTTTTGTAACTTGTTTATGGTTTTGCATGGAATATATCTACTGTCGCTTTTCTAGTTATTGTGCGCATGTGGATATTTTTACTTCCAGTGATAAGCCTTTCTATTGTATAGCTTTCGTTGCATCTTATTACAGTCAATCTGTGTACGCGTGTGTCCATATTGAACAATGAACAAACTGTTAGAATTAAATTATGAATAAGATTAGTTGAGACTCTGGAAGTTAGAAAAAAAGAACTGGAAATTTTGCATAAATTGTGAAATATTTCAAGCACAGCCATACACGATGGTAGCGGCTTCCGCTAATCAAGTATGGAATGAAATTAGTTGATAGATGCCTGCACGAGTACTCACAACGCCATTTTGTGAAGTAAAGCGACAAGTACTTAAATTCGCGGACCATGGCAGCTGCGGTCTCAATAAGGAGCATCGCTTTCTTGTTGGTCTATGTGCGCGCTTTGACGTCCGTCTTCCTAAAAACTATGACTAGTGGCGGCTCCCTGTAAAGGTTGAGCACCGTTCCGTACCCATGGGGTCCGTGGTCGCGGCGCGAGTGGCCGAAGGGGGCAGCGCGGTGGCCCGGTGGCCAGTGCAGCGTCCTGTTGGTATTGGCGCCGGTCACACGACCGGCCGGCGCGGCGGCTGGCTGGGCCGCGCGCCGACAATGCCAAGGTAACGTCCGAGGAAACTGGCGACCGCGCGCTGGAGCGGTACACGCGGCATAGTCGCGGCGCGGGTCAGCCGGCCGGCCGCTTGTGTTGGCCGCCAGCTGACGGCTGCTGCCACTGCGCTGCTGTAACGGTCGCTCCAGAGCCGTCAGCGTATCCTAATTATCCTAAAACAACATTATTCAGGAACTAATTGAACCCCAATACGCAAATTCAGTGAAAAAATCGCGCAATTCGGTGAGTTTTTCGTGTAGAAACGGTGCAGCTTCGCCTATCTGCGTTGACGCCTCTCGACTACAGATGGCAGTAGTGTATTCGCCTGGAATGTAGGCTGTACCGCATCGCACAAACGTACTGCGGCACAGCCTACCCAGCTGTTGGCGCCAGTCAGCTATTCATCATTTATAGGCACTGCTGACACCTGGCTAATTAGCATATTACACCCAAACTAAATGTTGTTGTTTCTATAAATACCAACTTATATATAGCTCCTACTCTAGTGACACTTCGGTAAGCGTTTAGCTTGCCGAACTTCATGCCAACAAACCTGACTCTTGAGAGCAAAGTGAGGCACACTGATGGACAATGGTAAATGCTCAAACGGCATGCTATGGCTTAAGATGCCTTTTATAAGCCTTAGCATTCTTCTTTTCACTCTTTGCTATTAATAATAGGTCTTGATTTATAGTAACTTTTCAACATTTGCTGTTGTTTCATAACTAAGCACTAGGTATTTTTATCAAGTCTTTGTCTGCTATACAAACATTTGGAAGAGGGAGCTATATTCACATTCAAAATAAACGTTAGTTAGAGATAATGTATACTTTAAACAAGCAATTTCAAAATCTTTGCGTTGGCTCGATTGGAAAGCTGTCTGCATCAACTTTAGTGAGTCGCTTAAATCTCAATATTTACTCTTCCGATCGAAGTTTACTGACCGAGGCATAAAATCCAGAGAGTTTGCATGCGTTCGCTGTTCATGGAATCCGTATAACTCAAATAGTTTCCTTTATAACCAGGGACATATTACAAGAATGCCTTTCAGTTTTGTTGTTGCATGCATGGCCATTTTAGGACCCTGCTACTTTTGATCCCTTTTTGTTATCGTAAAGATATTAATTATTTAATAAATGGAATTTGAATTCAACTAAAATGCAACTGAAACTTAAGCTCTTATGCTCATATCCTTGATAACGTCTATTCAAAACTGAAAATAACGGTAAATATGTACATGTTTGGAGCTGGAAAACACTTCAGATATCATTAATAAGTGATACAGTGCCGCTTGGTTTTGCTCGGCAATCCCGTTCAGACATTCACTGCTTCAACGGCCTGTACATGTGCCGCACGGTCAGAGCCACCCGAGCCTGTGCATGCAGGTATGCGGCGGCGCTGCTCATTCGTTCGACACCGCGGCGGCCCCGAGCGCCTCGTTACGACCCTAATAGGAGACAGAGCCGGGTAGCGCGCCTCAGTCGGCCCTAAACATAACGGTCTGCAGCCCGGCGACCGCCCTGCCCGGCGGCGCTGCATTGGCGTCATATCCGGGGCCTGTGAGCCGGCCGGCGCGGCGGCGGTCGGTGCGAAGGACGGTCAGCGGTCAGCGGAGGGACGGACAGCCGCACCGGAATGGCTCAGGACCGGCCCTGGTCACCGTCGCTAGGGGTTGGGGTAGCGGTGGTGTCGTCAAGGCTATGCTACCTTAGTCATGCTTTAGTTCAGGTGTAGTAACTGGCAGGCAGTCACTAGCATCGTTATTACTTTAAAATGATTTCATACCTTATTTAAAATTGGAGATGAGGGAATAAGATAATTGAGCTAAAAGTTCATTTCAGAATTGAGGTGGGAGCAAAGTATTGTTTAATAAGGTCGATGTGGAGAAGAGAGAGAGAGAGAGAGAGAGAGAGAGAGAGAGAGAGAGAGAGAGAGAGAGAGAGAGAGAGAGAGAGAGAGAGAGAGAGAGAGAGAGAGAGAGAGAGAGGGGAGAGAGAGAGGGGATTCAAGAACCCTTGAATGGAATGCAATTCTGCATGACTTTGTGCACCGCAATACGCTACATACCATAACAAGTTCACCATAAAAAGTTGATGGCCAGAGAGTCGCTTATATACTATAGACTGTCTTGTAACCCAAGGTTTGTGGTATGACAACAGTTGCTGTATTTTGGCCTGCTTATATTTCGTATTCTGTCAGCGGTCAAATAGTGTGTGAGATAAAGAGCCGGCGTGCTGATTCAGCATGCTAATTAACCCTATTCCTGGCGGGCTCCGCCGGGACAAGAAACTCGCGGGGGGGGGGGGGCGATTCGGCCCCCCTTCAGATCTCAAAAACTACACATCGCAGCGACAAACGGTAAACGGCATCGGATACGCACGGTCAAGATCTACAATTTTTACTAAAGTCATTTTCTGGTCAGGTCAAAGATGACGTCACAGGGGTCGAAAAAGTCAAAATGGCGGCGCTAGATATGGAGAGAGTTTTTCTCAAATAACTTTCGAATTAGTCAAGATAGGAACAAATAAAGGGCATCATCGTGATCCTCTCGTCAATCCGCATCGAATGATATATATGTTGACCTCGAAAGGTCAAGGTCAAAGGTTGACCTCAGGTCACGTGACCTCGAGGTCATCATGTATATCATTCGATGCATCTTGACGAGCTGAACACAATGAGACCATCCACGCGTCTGTATCTTGTTCCTGTACGGAGTTATTGGCCAAAAACCTTTGGTGACCTTTGATGACGTCACATGACCTCACAGCTGCCCAACAGCAAAACAGACCTCAAGGTAGTGAAGGTTGATCGTATATGAAGTCATGTATGGTATATGGGGCCATTCCGACTCGTTTTAGTGGTAAAAACAGGGAGTTGATTTTTCCCCCATTGACTTATAATGGGGAGGTCGCGAAACTGACCTGACCTTAGGTCACCGATATCAAAATTCCGAGATATACAAATTGCACATACTGGTACCCTAACTAAAGCCTGAAGAGAAGAAATTGATCGGTCAAAAACTCTAGCTCTGGCGTGATTGCAAACTTTTCTGAGGTAGGGTCACCAAACCGCCTCTGGTGACCTGACCTGAGGTCAGATCAACTCAAAATTTTCAGACATGTTGCGTAGAAGCCTTTTAGGAAAAGTCAGAAAATTTGAGCTTCCTAGCTTAACGCGTTTGGGAGAAATAACCAAAAAACCTCAGGGGGGGCTCCTGAGGCCCCCCCGCCAGGAATAGGGTTAAATCAGAAAAACGACCCATAAATGGGCCAGAAGACGAACTGCCTCTCCAATAATTCCGCACTCAAGCTCTTTCTTTCAAGCTATCTCAACGCTATGTCAGCCACAAATTGAGCCTGGCAACCGTATTGACCCCAACCAACCATGCACCATGCGAAAACCTGATGCTGACCTTGACCTGAAATAGACCATGACTCCACCCCGACCGAAACCCGACTTTGCTGGTGACCTAACATTGACTATGACCTTGACTGTGACCGCTTGGGATCCAGTTGTGATGCAACTTTGACCCAGCTGTAACCTGAACATGACTCCACCTTTGCTGGTGACCTGACCTTGACTCAACTGAGACCGCTTGTGACGCCGCTGTCACCTGACCGTCACCCGACCGTTTCCCATCTGTGACCGGCTGCACTCTCCTCTCGGCAGGTCGCTGCCAAAAATCAACCCGGACGACGGCGGTGCCGGTCATACTCAGGTGCAGGTCAGCAACTTCGAGCCGATCCCGCACGAGCACGGCTCCTGCGAGCGGGTCGTCATTAACGTGAGTATTCAGAGCACGGACACGTATTGTGTGTGTGCCGCCTGTAGTCACGGGTAGCCCCTAGAAAGCCGATTGGGCGCTTCGGTGCCATAATGTTGATCTTATGATAAAGAAAATCTCACGTAACTCAAATTACATTGAAATCAATTTCTGGCGATATGCTAAAGATGCTGTTATGCGTGATGGAAGTAAAGTTTTGCAGGAATGAAAAAGAAATGAACTGTTTCGGGACACCACCACTATGGAAAAGGCAATCAATTTGACGGATATTGACAGTTGCGTGTTAGTAAAATGATTGCTTCAGTCACTTTTAAGTTCTCGACCAATAATTTGAGTGATAATGGATCTCTGGCAGGTGACCAAAGCCACGTGGAAATGGCATGCAATCCTATCTTTGGTAGCAAGATTTCGAGTCCGCTGCACATTTGGCGATGTTTAACGATCAGTTTCAGCCGTTAAACTGTAATCAAGCGCCATTAAAACTCAAGTTTGAAACAAATCGCTGAAAGACGCACTGTTTCGCTGATACTAAACATGTCACCAGACATTAAAATTGCTTTTGTCTCTCCTAGTCTTCTTGATGAATTTTCCATTTAGCAGCGAGCAATTTATGATGAGTTTTTGGAACCCTCTTCTTTTATCTTAGAGTGCAGACTCGCAATTACCAGGATCCTGAGAACTCAGCGGCCTCGGTGAGGCGCGCCTCGGCTCGGTGATGTATAATCCGTTCTCAGGAGGTGGCGGTAAACAACGTTGCATCACCTGGAATGAGAAACGCGCCCCTGTTTTCGCTCAAACGTTCAACTGAACCAACGTATCGATCCAATAGCGAAGCGGCCCGGGCAGACGGTTGAGTTATGACAATGTGCTCGCATTGCTAATAGATAGCAAGATGGCACAGTCACTTTAGCGACGTTAGATATTTTTTTTTGGGGGGGGGGCATACATGAAAAGTACATCTACTTCTTCCATCTAATGCATCTAAATTTTCCATGTAGGAGATGTGTGCTTCAGTTGTGACTTGACTCCCGAGATACAGCGTTGACCGGTCGCTTCCCAAGGGTATCTTAGACCTTTGTAAGTGTGGGTCATGTGATCTGCATGTGACTTATGTATCCTATGTGATCTGTGTGACCTCTATGACCTACATAATCTTTGCGACATTTGTGACCTGTGCGGCCTATGCGACTTTTGTGACCTCTCTGACCTTCGCTACCTGTGTGACCTTTCTGACCTGTGTTCTCTCAGGTGAGTGGGCTGAGGTTTGAAACTCAGCTAAGAACGCTCAACCAGTTTCCCGACACACTGCTGGGCGACCCGGCGCGAAGAATCCGGTACTTTGACCCCCTGAGGAATGAGTACTTCTTCGATCGAAATCGAACCAGGTAAGCGACCGGCCCACATGAGAGCGAAAAGATTGGCCCTAGCTAATTCTCTGCGTGGAATGAACAGCGAACTCCTGCTTAACCAGATAATGGTTTTCTAAGGTCATGTGCTGTCTAGACTCTCAACCCAAAATTCATTAGATAATCGACGAGGCGGTTTAATCGTAGATTGATGTTTCATTTTAATCTCACCATGAGCTGTCAAGGACAATTTATAACGTTTAGTCAGTTCCAATTTCTCTGGCGTGGCTTTGGTGGCGACTGCCGACAGGGAAGTTACAGCGGCGAAATGGTGTCATAACTGCGCGCCATGGATTAAAGGCTTTCAGTCGTAACGTCTGCCATTGACTGCAGATCGAGGCGCGGTGGAGGGATAGGGGGGAGGGGCTGAGGCGCCAGATGGGAGGGAAATATAAGGACGGGATGCACGGCGAGCTCAGGCGGAAAGGGTAACATCAGGACGGGATGCACGGCGAGCTCAGGCGGGAAGGGTAACATCAGGACGGGCGGCGGCCACTGGTCGGGGAACCGGCTCATGAAACCTCTCATACTTTCTGACGGATCCTCATGTCATGACCCATCAACTGCCTGAAAAGTGGAGTTTGGGGACTCCATGCTGGCCTGTTTGCGAGAGGAGCCAGGATTTGATGATTGGTTTCAGGCAGTTATTCAGGTACTGCAGTGCTTCATAATTTAACCCGGCCGGGCCCGGGGGGGTAATCCCAACCACCGCAGCCCGGGGGGGGGGGGCGTTTTTCGCCCCCCCCCCTGTCTAACTCCGTAAATAAGGGAGCTACGGAAGCAAAAGCGATACCAAACGAAAGGTCCTTACGAGACGATTCTAATGCACCCAAAATTTTTGACCTCAGGTCAATTTTCAAGGTCAGAGGTCAAGGTCAAAGTCCAAAACCGGCACATGTGTAGTGATCTCAAAGTAAGCATTCTAGAGGACGGCAGGCTGCATCAAACCGGCAAAATTGGGTGTCAAACGAAAGAAGAGAATCTGAGGATTCTGAAAATGTGCTCCAAATCAAAGGTCAAGGTCAAGGTCACGCTCAAAATTGACCTCAAACTTGGCACTTTTTCGCACATCTTGCGTGCTAACTTCCAAGATGTTTTGAAATGTTTTGAGGCTTATCAGTTCCCTATTTGTGGTTCATCTTACGATACAAGGCTGCTCAAAGGTCAAGGTCACAGAAGAGTATCCCTGCTAGAGGCTATTTCACTGATTCAAGTTAGTAATAATAAATAAGACAATTTTGCCATCCGGAAGCTCTAAATGAAGGCTTAGAGGAAAATAGATGCCAGATTCGTGATCAGCGGGTACAAATCCATCATAAACGACCTTTCATGTGTCAAGGTCAACCAGAGGTCATTCGAGGTCACATGAGGTCAACATGAAACTTGACCTTTTCCAAACAAAATATATATCATTCGACGCGGCTTTACAAGGCGAATGCGATGGTATCACTGCCGTAGCTCTAGGACCATTTTTGTCGAAGTTATTTGCGAAAAACTAAAACCGCATTTCGGGGTCGTTGACCTGACCTCTGACCTCAGGTCACCGAAACTATTTTTCTATTTTTCTCTAGGTCAAACGCTACACAGCCGTGCTCGTAATTTGTCTTTATCTCTAAAACTCTATTTTTAGCAGCTATTTGAAGTTTGCGTCTGTGACGCCGAAGTTTGCCGTGCAGGGGTCTAGAAAAATGGACCTTGTGACGTCATCAAGGGGGCTAGGTCCAAATTTTTTACTTCAGAAGATGTCAAATTGATGGGAGAAAAGGTACTGAAAGTTTCGCCTTCCTATCCCTAAGAGTTCGTGAGTTATCGCAAATATTCGCCAGGGGGGCGAAAAACGCCCCCCCCCCCCCGGGCCCGCGAGGGTTAAGTTACCCATACGGAGCGATTCTAGACGTACGCCGTCCATTTCCACTAGGTGACTCTTTATGCGATGAGCTGATTCCTTTTCGTCTTTTCTAATGCACGAATCTAGCCCGCCTCGAAAGTATTGCTAAGGAAAGACCTTTCTCAGCGTACCCCCCAACTGTCAACAATAACTCCCCCAAAAAGAACGCTGTGCGTTTAATTAAAAACCAAACAACTGACAGGAAGACATCTTTATTTCCTTATAATTTTGTTCATTTTAAACTGATACAGACAAAACTCTGAGATCCAATGCATTCAAACGTGTTTCAGCTTCATATCCCGCGGACCGAGAACTGGGAGATTTATGGTGTTTTAAAATTGCATTCTTATTCGAAGCGGCTGTTCCTTATATGAGAATCAACCAGCACGGCTGATTTCTCATTGCGATTGCTGACCTTTCCTGGGTTCACTGAGACGGCGGCCACCTGAGCGCCCCGATCAATCTTGCTCCTGGTTGCCAGGCAAGGTGGCTGCTTCGTTTCTCGCCTCTAGCTGCAACCGAACGCCACAGTTTCGCTCATCTGGTCGCCTGAGGGCTTCCGGGCGCACACGCAGCAGAAAATTAACATAGCCCGTGATTAATGCGGGGAAGAGCCAACGCCTTGGCGGCGGAGAGGCATACGGGAAGGCGCCGCCAGCCATCCAATAAGGAAGCCAAACAGAGAACATTTTAGACGACGCTCACGCCTTGCATATTGGAGGAAGAGAATGGAGTAGTGTCAAATCAACTGAAACCTGCTGATCGATGAGTTTTGTCTATTTTGAATATATCTGAGAAGATCGCTTTTCGAACTCGAGTAAACGTCCTACAATTTGTGTGGACAATGCTTTGCTTATTTTATATATATGATTAGGCTGCCTTGCTAAATTTCGTTCGGTTAAAACACCAAATGTTTTGTTACCTTAGCTCCTGGTCTTGAAGACATTGGTATTGTAAGCACCACGCAAAGTTCTTAGTCTCAGGAGAGCGCTAAGGTGGCGTTTTGTTTTTCTGTTCTGACAGCGCGAAAGCTTTATGCTGCTGTTTTTCTTGTTTATCGTCCTAATAACTGTAAAACAGCGTCCCAATTCTCTCGCGACTTGTTCCTTCGCTGTCTCTACAGAAAAGATATGAACACCAACTTAGCTATACTTTTGGTGCATTTGCTGAGAAAATGAGCGGCGTGTCTTCCTTATACGCGGAAATCGATGCATACCTATTGCATAAGGCCAACAACTTTCGCCGGAACACTTTTTTGCATGAAACACTGGCCTACCTTTCGAGGCGCCCCACGCTCTCGCTCGATGCATTGGAAATAATGCATTTTTATTTTTATCTGTTAGTGGTGGTCAGCAAACGCCACCTGTTTTCACCAGCTTGTGCCCCTACTTCAACTATCGAGTCTGACGTGTCCTTGTGGTGTCTGTTTCAGTTTCGATGCCATCCTCTACTACTACCAGAGCGGGGGCCGGCTCCGCAGGCCTGTCAACGTACCGCTCGACGTGTTCTCAGAGGAAATCAAGTTCTACGAACTTGGAGAATATGCCATCAATAAGTTCAGGTCTGTGCCGCAGCCATAACTCGTAAGAAAGTGGAAATTATCAGAGTTGTGACCAGATTAGATTTCGCAGTTGGATTAAAGTCGCAGTTAGCTCGCAGCAATGTGGCTCATTTACAATGGTTTCTATTTCTACTGTAGAGGAAAAATATAAGTGCCGTCTTTAAAGAGCCAATATAACGACAATTTATTTGCACTGTTGAGTACCCAATTGTAAACCAGATTTGCAGGCATTGCTAAGACTGAACAGACTTAAGGTCATTACATAAAGTTATGAAGAATAATTAACGGAATCTATGTAACGGAAGTTATGATACGATCACCCACAGGTCTATCCAGTATCCATGTCCTCACAATCCTCCCAAAACCGAGAAGCGACTGTCCAAAATGCTCGGCGGCAGTTGACTACACGCGTCTGTGTTTTAGGGAGGACGAGGGTTTCATCAAGGAGGAGGAGCGGCCGCTACCCAACAACAAGTACCAGCGCAAGCTGTGGCTGCTGTTCGAGTACCCGGAGAGCTCACAGAACGCGCGGGTGGTGGCCATCATCTCTGTGACGGTCATCCTCCTCTCCATCGTCATCTTCTGCTTGGAGACGCTTCCCGAATTCAAGCACTACAAGGTGTACAGCGCGCCGAACAGTACCATCGTCGAGGAGGACGAGGTGCCGGCTGTCACCGACCCATTCTTCCTTATAGAAACCATCTGTATCATATGGTTCTCATTTGAACTGCTCGTGCGTTTCGCCGCCTGTCCGAACAAGGTCAGCTTCTGCCGTGACGTGATGAACATCATTGACGTGGTGGCAATCATTCCTTACTTTCTGACGCTGGCCACGGTGGTGGCAGAGGACGAGAGCGTGGTGCCCACGCCAAAGCCGACAGTGGCCGGCGCAGAGACGGGATCGAACCAGGCCATGTCACTGGCTATCCTCCGAGTGATACGGCTTGTGCGAGTGTTCCGAATATTCAAGCTATCGCGGCATTCGAAGGGCCTGCAAATCCTAGGAAGAACATTAAAGGCCTCCATGAGAGAGCTCGGGTTGCTCATTTTCTTCCTGTTTATAGGTAAGTCCCCACCGATCTGCACAGATCAGTGGTCGTTTCATCAAAGGTATTGGGGGTCCGTGTCCTACTGATAAGCAGTCGCTGGGGTTGATGGTCATTTCATCTATGGGATGGGATTTTGGGATTGTCTCAAACTAAAGTAATTATATGATGCATTGAATGACCAGCACGGTGATGTGTGTCTGTGTGCCTGTGAAGTGTGTCTGTGTATGGCTCCGTCGCACCACCAGTGTCGCAGCTGCAGCGCGTCGGTCCCGGCCCCATACCCCGGCCGGTGCGCCGCAGCCACACTGACCGTATCGATAGTGTTGTGCCGCGGGTGACCGGGAACGCCTTCCCAGCTACAAATACGGGTAGTGGGGCGCCCATAAGTAAGGCGCCGATGTGCTGTAAACAACGTCAACAGGGCGCCGCGGCGGGGATAGGACCCGAATCCCGGCTCGGCTCGGCGGCTCACTGCGCCGACCGGGTAAGCCCGTCGAACGAGCGTCGCTCGGCGACCAACCAGAGGTCTCTGCAAAAACACATGGCGTCCCACAGCAATACTGGAGTGATGCCGCCCACTTAGTGTAAGCCGGCTCAGACGGGCTTACGTATGTTCTCTGGTGATAGTTTTAAACCGCAGAGATGGGATAGCCTCAATGATAGCAAGAGATGAGAGGGCCGGTAATTGTATGACGTAACTAAAAGAAAAAATAGCAAGGAATGTAGCCATTAGGGAGGTGGCGATAAAACATAAAAGCTGGTTTCAAGCAATGCCACATACCAAATCAAATCATATTTAGCCTAAAGACCTTAGATAAAATCTACCAACTAGCATCAGGCTAAAAAGTGAAAAATATGGATGTGGTAAAACGTCTGTCCCGTGCAAAGATTCCAGAGCTGGAATTGCGTTTGGCCTGCTTCCATAGTTTCCAGGTCTACATCATTTGCATAACAGCCACAGGCCCATACCAAAGACTCATTATGGTGGCAGTTACGTCGGCATAATTAACGTTTTGTTCTTGGTGCCATTGTTATCCATCGCTTATCCACGGAACAATCATCCCGACAATTGACTCCATTTCGCCTGGTTATACAACGCTCTGGATCGTTTGCATTCAGCCGCGGAGACTCCACTAAGCTGTTCGGGACGGCATCCAATGCCGGTATGGTTACGCGCAGGTTTCAACAGGGATTAACTAGTTAATATTCATTAGCTAGCAATGCCACCTGAGGTTCTAGTTCTCAGAAACCTTATGCGTTACTGAAAATGAACTAATCCGATATATGCTCAATGCAGATGCGCGAATTACAAAAGGATAAGAAAATGCCAGCAAAGCATTTTGTTTGACGTCAAAAAGCTGTCAAATCGATTCTCAAGCGTGTGCAAGGCATCCATGCACATTGTACAATGTGCATTGTGCATTGTGAAGTGCGCAGTGCTCACTGGTCAATGCTTATGCATTTGTAACTTACAAAATGGCGCAGTAGCCATGCTCGAAAGCAACGGAGTTGTGGTTTTAGCCAATGCAGAAGCTGATAAATGATGGGTAGGCTCTACCCTCACTTGTCAAAGCTTTGCCATTAAAAGTCCTCTCCACGAATCGCAAGTTAAACCATCCCAGAAGGCCCGGCCACCTCCAGTCGAAGGCTAGTCATTAGCAGCCCTCTCCATAAGTGGCAAGTTAACCCATCTTAGAAAGCCCAGCCGCCCCAGCAGATCTCTCTCCCGGAGACTCGGCTGGGGTGTGGGCGGCACGAGGGCTGACCTGCCGCCGGCCCGGCGCACAGCTGAGCCCAGCGCCGTCTGTGCGGTTCTCACAGTTGATTTCGCTAATGGCCGGCCCGTGAGAGCGGCTGCCGTGAAAGGCACCGGCGCAGAGCACGCGTGTTCTACTGGTGTACTGAGCGCTGCCTCCCCCACTACAAGCTGACTACAACGTTAGCCCTCGCCGGCACAGGCCATTTTGAGTCCTTCGACGGCACAAGGGGGGGGGGGGTACGAACCCACCCTCGCGTTTGGCCCCTGATCGAGCTAGAGCTTCGCGGAAAAAACGAGCGTGTTGCCCGTCACGAGAGGAAGCCGATGATACCAAATTTTAAGGTCCTAGGTCATCGGGTGACCTTCCAGGTCAGGTCAATGACCCGAAAACCGGGAAAATCGGGACCTGTTAGAAAGTCGTAAAGTGTGGCTGCTATGTGGTTTTCCGGGGTGCTGATCACGAATATCGTGTTAGTTTTGATCAGAGATGATGTCTTTAAGCATTTAGACCAGGTCGGGTCAGGTCAGGTCAGGTCAACCGGTAGGGGTTGTGACGGGTATTCGTAATACGTGTCAACCGCCTCGGACAGCTTCGTAATATGTTACGAAGGCACCAAAACTACTTCGTAAATGTTCAAATGGTTGCTAAATTCGAATTCAGCTCCAAAAACTAGCCCAGAAACATGTAAAACTCGAAAAAGTGAATCGAGGTCACCCGAGGTCACCAAAGGTCAATGACCTGACCTGACCTTCAGGTGACCTTGACACCCACCCTAATGCATGGGAGCAACATCAAATCACATGTTTGAACGTTTGAAACCACGAAAAGCTTGCAAACGCGCGGCTAATGCGAGCCGACATGCGCCGAACCGCGATTTCGGCCAAACATGGTCACAGAAAAGAGGTCACAGGTCAAAGGTCATTGGGGTCAGGGTCATGAAATTTTCAGGGTAGGTGTAAAATTGATCAATGCGAGGGTACTGAAAGTTTCGTCGCGATCGGCCGCTTTTTACGCGAGTTATTCGCGAAAAACCTTAGGGGGGTTGCATCACCCCCCCCCCCCTGTGCCGGCGAGGGTTAGGTGGATTCTTAGGTGGATTCTATTCTAGTCGGCGATCAGTCACCGACGCATGGCCACACTCGGGGCTTAGCCGTCCAGTACCTACAGCTACACTAGGGTGGTGTTTCACTGGACGCTGTTACCATGCCGTTATCGCATTTCGCGAGCTGACGTCACATATGTATGTGACGTCATTGTGGCATTGTTGGAGATACGGGTATGTTGATGTCTCCATGGAAACCCAATTTGACATGTGTGATAGCAGCACGCTGGCAGCGGCCGTGAAACAGGGCCCAGGATACGCGTACTCAAATCCTGGTTGGGGGAGGGGGATGCGCGGTTAGGGGGGAAGGGGATGCGCGGTTCGTATTTATGTTGACATTTCCTGACATACTAATGCTGTCATCCATCTCTCGCTAAAATCCTAATTAGGTAGGTTATCGTCAAATGGGTAGGATTCAGCTCAGAGGCGTGGCTGAATAGGGCTACCGCAGGGGATGCGCGAATGTATTTTGCAAAATTATAATATGTAACATTGTCCTCGAGTACGTCACAAAACATGGTTGGTTCAGCAAGCGCATCTTCTCTTTGTAGCGAAATTTCCATTCCCGACAAACAAAGCAAACAAACAAAACAAAAAACAGATGCCAATCGGAGATCTGTTGACTGTTGAACGCACTGGGCGGAACACACGGCCGATCGCCGAGCGCCGTTTGATCAACACGATCAGCTTCCCGTTCAGAGTTCGGAGCCGACTTTCTTGGCAAACAGCGTTTCAGTGGAGCAGAAACACACCCGGAGGGTCTGCAATCTTATTCGGAGTTGCTGTTTGTACTGGAGAGCACAAACAAGCTCACAAACTAAGTGGCTCGGTTGACAAGGCGGATCACTTTAGTGGAGGTCCAATGCTGAATGCGGGTGGATTTTGGAGTGTCAGTGGTTCAGGACAAGTGGGCAGCTATGCACCTATATTCGGTGATAACTAAACGCCAGGTGGTAGCTTTAAAATAGCTTTACTTTTCAATATGGAGGTGAACTGCTAAATGATCCGTTCATATGCTGCTAGCACCACAGTCTGGTGGATAGGTAAGGCGCAAGTTGACCTCAGTCTGCATACAATGATGACTAATCACTGTTGTGAGTGATAAATGTTTGTAAACGTTTGTAAACTGTTGGTAAGATCAAGTGGAGACGTATGCGTATTTCGAGCATCCATCATCAATTTACAGATGAAAGGCTTATAAACATGCATACAGTGAGTTCTTATCATTGAGGAGCTTTATCTTACAAGAATGTTGCCTTTCCGACTCCTTTTGATAGGCGATGTCTTGGTTGTCTATGGAAGGAAGGCTCCGTGTGAAAAGACCCTATAGTTGCTAGGGATCCAATCAGCTTCGGCATATACTCCGTTCATCCGATCCGCCTTTACAATAGCCAAGTATAACTTTATTAAAGATAACGAAGCCTTCCTATATGCCGTCCTTATATAAATTATCTAAAAAAGCTTAGATCGGAAAATATCAAATCCTGCAGTAGGTTCGCTTTTGTGTTTAAATCTTTGTGGCAATGGTCTGCTCAGAAACCCTTTACACAGAAAGCAATGTTTTGGTGATTTTGTAGCTGACCTCACCTGCAAGGTCACCGATTGAACTTGAGTTTGGCAATATCGCGCTAAAATTCTACGATGGCTCCCAAAATGCTCCTTTTTATCGCACGAATTCATCTCACTCGGAGACGACCGAGACGAGTTGGGCGAGCCAGGCATCCAATCGGCCCCGCCTACCCAATATCAGATCCTTCGATTACCGAGAGACCGTCGCCTATTTCTCGGGCCTCGTCTCTCAGATAACGACCCAGGCAAACCAATTAGGTTCACAAAAGATCTGTAGCGTGAAATGCATGTTTTCGGTTGGCTGGACAACATAGAGATTCGGGAGAGATGTACGGTAATTGTACGTGTTCTATGCATCGTACGATCCAATTACATCTAAAAGTAGCAGCCCCCAATCATCAATGCTTGGGTGCTCGCCTGTAATTTGACCCAAGCGTGACGAAATTCTTTTTCTCCGAGTGCCTATAGGTATACTTGGCGTAACGGTATTCTTCGTGATGCCTTGTTTGCTAGTTTGAGATCCATAGCTGTTAGTTTGAGACGGTAGTGGACACGATTCATTCGATCATTCGTTTATTGTTCAA